CTTCTTCTAATCATGTATTTATTAAAAATTTAAAAAATAGTAATGAAGTGCTTCTTCTAAGTATGTGGTTATTAAATAAATAATTTTTTTAATTAAAAAAAATAACCACTAGAGAAACTGGTACTGAAAAGTGGAGTCACTACTGTGGTAAACCTGACCACATGGCTTCTAAACCTTTGGAACTGATTTGCAGGAGGAATTATGGAAATGTTTGGAGCCGCAGGCTAGAGAAGAGATGGTGAGCTATAAGCAGAGCTTAATGGGCCATTCTGGTAGAATTTCAGAAGACCAGAAGGTTGAAAGAAATGTGTATGTGAAAAGTATGTCCATGAGGTTTCATAGAGGAATTAGGACTGTTGGAGACTGGCCTAGGTGCCATTCATTTTACATTTTGGCAGTACATCTGGCTACGTTCTGCCTTTGTCCTGAAAATTTGATGCTGACTAGAAATTTGTGGACTTACTAGTTGAGAGAAGAAATTCAAGGCAACATAGCATTCAGGTTGTGTCGTGGTTACTGCTCACTGCATTTAGCCAGGATTACAGTGAGGAATAAATAGCAGAAAGTTGTGAAAAATCTGCACTATAGTAAAGAAAACTGTGAACCTGGTGAAGGTTTCAGAAAAGATAAAATATATAAAAGCATTAATTGTTAAAATGAGATTAGCAGCACAGACTAGTGTAGCTAATGTGCTGCAGACTAGTGTAGACTAGTGTAGCTATATGTGCTGCAGGTGGCAGATCTGTACGTGTGGAGTCATCTGAGTCCACTGAAGACTGTAGATGATGCTGTTACCAGCCCCAGGTGCTGGGCATGGAGATTTAGGGTTAGGTGTTTCCCTTCTGAGTTTGCTTTTGCTTTCAGTCTTTCTTTGCTATGCCCCCATTTTCCCTTTTAGAATAGGAATGTTTACTGTGTGCCATGGTATATTGGAAGTATATAATTTTGTGTTTGATACTGCAGGGGCTCACAGTTAAGATTACTTTCAGACTCAGAAGAGACTGAACTTACAAACAGTGTTGTAACTGTAAAACTGCAGGCACTTTTGAAATAGTATAAATGTATTTTACAATATTAGATGGCCGTGAGCCTGTGGTGGTGAGAAGCTGAATGTTGTATGAATATTTAAAAGTCTTTCATAAGTTCATATATTTTGAATAGTTGGTCTCCTGCTGGATGGAGTGTTTTGGGAGCTTGTGGTATCATTAATAGGTGGTGCCTCATTGGAGGAAGTGGGTCTTTGAAGGTGGGCTCTATGGATAATAACCCAACCTGGATTTTAGCTGTAGTCTCCTCTACTTCCTGACTGTCAAAGCAATGTAACCAACCAACTGCCTCACATGCCTGCTTCCTTGGCCCCAAGAAGTTCCACTGCCATGCTTTCCCTGCCATGATGAACTGCACTCTCTCAAACTACATACCAAAGTAAGTTCCCCTTCCCTCAAATTATTTCTTTCAGGTATTTTATTATGAGAAAAGTAACTAATAGTATTATCTTCAAAAATATTTATTAACTTGGGAGGCAGAGGCAAGCAGATTTATGTGAGATCTAGTTCAGGCCATCTGGAGCTACAGGAAGACCATGTTTCAAAAACAGACAAACAAATTTATTAAACATAGTATATTTCTATACTGTTGTTAGCTAATATGATATATATATTTATAATGCATCTATGTCCTCACAAAAAGTAGTATAGATGGAAAGATGTTTCATTATTGTATTAGTTACTTCTGCTGCTCCGATAAAACACCATGACCAAGGAATTTATAAAAGAAAGAGCTTATTTGAACTTATGGTCCATCATGGTGGGGAGGCATGGTGGCAGAAGGTGGCTAGTGGAGAAAGCAGAACCCTCACATCTTGAAGGAGGCACAGGAAGCTGAGTGAGACTGACTGGACACCTGGCAAGGCTTAAGAACTCTCTAAACTGCCCCCCCCTCAGTGACATGCTTCTTCCAGCATGGCATCTTTTAAGACCCCCAGAAATAGTGCTACCAACTGGGGACAAAACGTCCAAATACTTGAAACCTATGGAGGATGTTCTTATTCAAACCACCACAATTATATTCTATGAAAGATGAAAGAATGATCTGCTGCCTCTGCCCTCCCCACTGTGCTATTTTATGGCAACAATTTGGAGACTGCTCCAGGTTTCACCAAGATGAAACATTAAAAATTGGGGGACAGTGCCTCTCTCAAGATCACCATCAGGATTATACTTGATTGTAGAGTTCCACGTGCAAAACTGGAGTACTTATTCCTTGCTGAGAAACTAGAGGCACAAATGGCAACTGATCATGGCTTTGACGTAGTAGCTATTGCTTTTGGACAGTGCACTTGTTTAAAGTATTTGAATTGGAGAAGAGGTTAGCAATATCATTAAGCCTTTTGTATAAGTCTGAGTAGAGGTATTTAAAGCTGTGACTTATCTTTGCAACTAAATTACATAGGGTGTGTGTGTGCATGTGCATACATATATTTATGTGTTTATTAATGACTGGAGGTATGGGTTTGAAACTTAAACCTTTAGTTTGTTTAAGGTGTTCCTTGCTTTTTAGTTTAAATGGCATTTTATTTTGGGTAAGGATTCTCCTTTGCTTATCCTGGAAAATTATAACATTCCTAGTAGAAGTCAAAGAGCAAGTTCTTAGATGTTTCTTTTACATTTTAAATATCAGTTTATCTAATTTAGAATATATACCATAAAATTGGTAATTTATTTTTAAGACCTCTCAGTGGTATTAAGCACACCCACATGTGTGTGTAACTGTTACTTCCATCCATCTTAAGAACATTTTTGTTATCTCAAACTAAAACTCTATGTCTGTTAAACACTACTCTTTTAGTCCTCCTCTGAACTACAATTTATTTTCCACCTCTGTGAAACTTATTATACTCAATACCTCAAAGAAACAGAATCTTACAGTATGATTTTCCTTTTGTGTTTGTCGATTGTCTTCAAAGTTCATCTGGATTGTGTCATGTGCTAGAATTTCCTTCCTTTTTTAGGAATTTATATTCTGCACTTCTTTTTATCCATTCATCAATCAGTAGACACTTGGGCAGACTTCCACTTTTTGAGTATTTTGAATAAGGCCACTGTAAACATGGCACAGAAGTATTGCTGAGTCTCCACTTTCACACACTTGGAGCGCATACCAAGAACTGAAATTGCTGGTTTATGTTGTAGTTGTATGTCTAATTCTTTAAGGCATCATCATATTGTTTTTTCCAGAAGGGCTGTATCATTTTTGTTTCTCACTAGTAATTCTCAAGGATTCCAACTTCTCCACAATCTCATCATATCTTTATATTTTCTGTGTTTTGCATCTTGATGGGTGTGAAGTAGTAAATCATCTTGATGTCAATTATTTAATCAGTTCAGAAGAAAAATGATAGCTGAGAAAACAGAATAAATCTTCTGAATTTTTAAAGTGGATACAAGGACATATAAAACTAGTTTTTCATTTTGTTGGAAAAGAGATAAATATAACATTTTGCTTGAAATATTCTGCAGGAGTGTTCCAACCTTTTGACATAACAAAATGACATTATTATCTACAAATATATTGGGTCACATTCACAGCTATCCTGGGGTGTATGTGGTCCATGGGCCACAGATTAGACACACCAGCTACAGCTTGACTGTTCTAATTAAATCTTATTTTGCTCAGACAAAAAAGTTACTGTTATATGCTTCCTGTAGGCAAAAAGAATACCATCCCTTTTAAGCCTGAAGTGTTTCTAAAAACACATTGTGTTTTTAATTCTAATGAATTAATAATTCAATAATGATGTTGTCTTTTGGATTTAATAGTTTATTATGTTAGAATATCCACTTATTTTAATCAATGACACATGGAGTCCTTAAACTTCTTTATGAAATTTAAATAAACCCCTAAATCCTTGAGAAATTGTTACTCATGGTAGTTTTTATGGCCTCTGAAAAACAGATATTTATAACCTTAATTATCTTGAAAGATATTATCTAAGGTAAGAGGCTTGTGAATATAATACTTCATACACCATAAAAATATAATATAAAATTACATTATAATTAGATGGGAGAGATCACTATCTCCAACTTTGTTGTTCAATTTCATGTCATAGCTCTTTTTTAAAAGTTTAATTAACATTATGATAATGCATGGACCGATCTTGTTGAATACAACCTGGAGGGCTATTGCTGCCCCGAGCAAAACAAAGCAAAACAAAACAAGAACCATTCTGAGACATAAAATTTAATGTATCTATCTGTAGCATTCTTTTTATTTTATGTGTATGAATGTTTTGTCTACATATATGTATATGTACCACATACATGCCTGGTGACCCCAGGGGCCAGAAGAAGTCATTAAATTACCTGGTACTGGAATTACAGATGGTAGTGAGCCACAATGAGGGTGCTGGGAATTGCACCCAGGTCCTCTGCAAGAGCAGTACACTATTTTAACTGCTGAATCTTGTCTCCATCCCCAGTCTGTAGTAGTCCATAGCTAGGCTTAAAAACCTAGAAACAGACATTTCTAGGTAATCCTTGGAAATAGAAGAGAGTAAATGAATATATTTAATATCTGTCATATAAGGTTTATCTCATTGAGTAACACCATTGGCTAATTTACATTGTTGCAATGGCTCTAGAGTTCAAGATGGTGTCTGTGAAAGGAACTGAGCCATTTGTTGATACCCTAGAATGGTGGGGTGGGCATGTCCCTTTGTACATGTGCTTTTCCAGGAAAAGTGAGAGAAATGAAGATGAAGAGATGAGCAAGTGGCCATGACAGAGAGCCAGGAGGCCACTCAGCAAGTCCATGCCATAGAGTAGGAGAAACCAATTGCTGTGGCTAAAACCACAATCAGACAAATTTGACTGAACTTACCCTGGGGAAAGGATTGGGAACAACTAGAATTTAATCTCATAATTGGTTGCATTATGAATTACTGTCCATTTTATATACTATTTTTTTTGTGTGAGTGTATGCTATACATGAAAGCATACATGGGTGGAGGCCAGAGCTTGACATTGAACCTAGAGTTTGCCATTTTGGCTAAACTGAATGGCTCAAAAGCTCCAAGAATCCTCCTGGCACTGCCTGCTCAGCGCTGGGATCACAGGCTCAGTGCCACACCCAGCCAGGTGTGGTTGCCAGGAACTGAATTCAGGTGCTCATGCCTTCATGTCTAGCACTTTACCCACTGAGCCTTCTTCCCAGTTTGCTGTTTGAAAGAGCATCCTCGGTGCCTTCTAGACTTGAATTTCCAGCTATCCCATTCGACCCTCCAAGGGTAACATAGCTGTTAGTTAAATTTATTGCTTGGAGGCATCCTTGCCTGAGGCTTCCGGGATCCTGGTGGCCCCTCCTCTCTCCATCCTTAGGACAAACTGAGACAATATTCCTCTGAACTACATTTTAGAGAACAAAAGTGTTCATTGGGCTTGCTAACAGAGCTTTTGATGGTAGCTAAGGGTACTTACAAAGGTGTGGTCGCCCTTGGGCTTTTTTCCCTACATTTTGGGCAGGGCTTCCTGACTTGCTGCCCTGCTCCAAGATGGCGAAGCACCTTCCTTCTCTCTGACTTCCCGTCTCTATCCTTGTCCCTCCCTCTCATGCGGTTAAGGCTGACTGATTGGGTAGGAGGGGTGACTGTCTCCTTCTGCTCCTCCCTTCCTATGGAGGATCTCACAGTCCAATTAGTTGTGGTGATTGGAGCAAGTAGTGAGAAGCTAGAGAGGAAGGCATCTATTCGTGCTTGCTAGACTGGCTTGCAGCTTGGAAGATAAGCTTATCCAACAATAGCCTACCTGGAAAAGTAGAAACAAAAGGATCTAGTAACCTTTTATCTTCATTAAAACACTTATAGCTTCACCTTATAAAACAAAACCAAAACATTGCTTTTATAGAAACATACATTTTTAGAAATAAGAAAAGAAGTTTCAATTGTAATGAGTTCATATCAAGTAAAATTTGAGTAAAGAATGAATTTTCACAAATGAAATTTCAGTTTTCTTTGGAAAACGTTTTGGAGATTTTCAGGAAATACGAGCATTATAAGAATCTAAGGAAATCTTTTCATTTTATAAGCTGACTAGACCTCAGTAGACGAACTTGCACAGAGGGATGTCAGGGAACCCTAACGACACAATAGACCTTACCACAAATGACAGAATGTATGAATTCCAGTGGGGGGAGGGCTATGAGAGGGTACCAGTGGGGAGGGGGGTGTAAAGATAGTGGAGACTGATTGAGATGTTCTGTATGAAATATACAAAATTCAATGAAAAAGAATCTAAGGGCATCTTTTCATTTTAACTTGGAAATTTCAGTGGCCTTCTGTAATGTTTACCACTGTTGTCTGAAGACCATGAACATTCCATTTGTAGGATTATCATATGTGTGGAAACAGTAAACATACATTTATAGTGTGAAACAAATGGGCTCGTCTCTGTCTCCCATTATTTCCTTACCGATATCTCACCACTAGTGGGTACATTTGATAAACGATGATCATCTCACTTTCTGATATTTAGTGAACTATCACAAATACCACAACTACTAAAATTTGATTTTATTCAAGTGATTTTCTAATATTTTAACAATTATTTTAGTTAAAAATAAAGTTATTCTTTGAAAGTTCTAATAGACTTAGGACAAACTCATGTCTGATATTTGAACAGTAGTTTGGTAATTTATTCAAACCTACTTTTTTATTTGTTTTGGCTTTACAAGAAAAAAATACTGATGTTCAATATTGCACATTATCTTCAAACTTCAAATTTTAATTAGAACTGCATATTTGTTCTATGAAATTTCAGTGTTTAAATGCTTAAAATGGAATAACAGATACATTTACTTTAGAAAGAACTCTTAATTTACACACATAGGCAAAATCTCACACTCCAGTAGTCTTGTTGGTTATTACTAGCTGGTCCTGAACTGTATTTCTATAGCTATTTTTTACTCATTATTTTTATTGAATCTTTTCTCTCAGACAAAATTCTGTTGTCATAGCTAATAAGCTATTTATTAGAAAAAATTAAGTACCATATACAAAATTCCTCTAACAGAAAGAGGTCAACAAATATATTCAACTATTTTCATGAAGTTTTAAGTGAGCACTTGGCAAATTTAAGATTTTGATTATAATATTACTTATACTTTCTACAGTATCTTCTTCAGCATATTACAGTCCCATCTACACTAAATGTTTTTCATGTATAAAGTTACATAAATTTAGTAGAGCAATATAAAATCTGTATTGCAGCATTAATTATTATTATTATTATTATTATTATTATTTATTTTTATTAGAATGTTCTCACTCTGTAGCTCAGGTTGGCCTGCATGCAGATCAGGCTTTTCTCAATCTCAGCAATCCTTTCTCAGCCTGCGATGTGCTGGGTTGCAGGAGTGAGCCATCACATATGGCTGAGAAAAATTTTCATATATGGTTCTTATTTCTTTGTTATTTCACATATTTTTACTTTCTGTGGAAGCCAAAGATTCAACCAGTTTTTCTCAACCATAATTGACTAATTGTTCTGAAATACCATCAGGTGGAAAAGACATTTGAGGACCATGAGGCTCCTGGTCTTAGTAACAGTGTTGGCAACAGTTCTAGTCCCAGGGTTGCTCATCGAACTATGCATTCTTTCTTAAATTTTTGAGATAAAGGCTGGAGAGATGGCTCAGTGGTTAAGAGCACTGGCTGCTCTTGCAGAGGACCTGGGTTCAATTCCTAGCACCCACATGGCAACTAAAAATTGTCTAGTTCCAGAGAATCCTATGCCCTCTTCTGACCTCCACAGGCATTTCACAGCACAGGTGTAAAAACATACATGCAGGCAGTATACTCACACACATAAAACAAAAAAATAATAAAATAAAATATTTTAAAAAATTGAGATAAGCTAGCGTGTGGCTATTTCAGAAATTTAGATGATGGCATAGGGATCTGAGTAAAGAGAGCATTTGGACAGATACTAGGCGAAAGGAAGGAACAGACTGTGCATGCCCTGGGGAATCCCTGCCTCCCCCACCTCCTGGGAAGCTAGGTACACTTGTTCTCTAGTAAAGGGAACATTAACTAAATTTCTTAAAAAGTAATGAAAGAGAACAAACTGTAAAAAGGCAGCCAAAAAAGGCAAACATCTGTTACAGAACATGTCTCACTTGACTTCCTTTTAATGTTCTTAGGAATAAATTTATGAACTAGGGAAGTTTTAGCACTAATTAGCTTGTTTTCATCAAACAAAATGCACCAGATATGGATGTTGAATATGAATGAAAATTTCAGTAGTAATAATAAGTAGATAAAGTTCTGGTGCAGGGCTAAGGCCACAGGCTTTAGGTATCAGTGTGGCAGTAAATAGTGAATTGATTCAGATTGCTATGATTTGCTTTCTAGAGTGATCAGGAAAAAATGTCTTAAAAGTTGTGTATTCATTGACCAATCCGCAGATTAGGAAAAAGACCTTTTTTCAGCTACACTTGTGTAGGCTCACGAGATGATGACATGATTTGGAATAACAAACGGAGAACTACTCAAGGCAGAGCTTTGTAGCACAACAGCAGCAGCAAGAGAAATTGTGGGTTTTAGTAGCTACACAGATACATAACCCTTCATCTGAAACATTTCAGGCCACATATTTTCAGGAATTCAGATAATCCAAAATTATCTGAAACCCAAAGTTTTAGAAAGGTAAGAATGTAAATAATTCTTCAGATCTGTATCAAATGTGGTCCTAGTGATCTCTGTATCTCAGTGCACTGGCCTAGGTTGATGAATACTCTCATTGATGGGGAGACAGAGGCCAATGTACTGACTTGTTTTGATTGATCTAGGCCAAGTTAGGAAAATAACTTGAGCTTTGTTTTGATATGTGTTATAAAATTGTTTTTTATTTAATATTTTTATTGAGATGTTGTAATTTCATAAACAGTTCTTAATCAAATTTAGATGCCCTCCCACCCATGCCTCCCCCATCCCTCCACCGGACCTCATGTATTCTGTCATACATGCTAAGTCCTATCCAGTCAAACATTTGTATTTAGATGTCCTTCAGTGTAAATTTGTCCATTGGAGTATGTTAGGCATACTCTCCTTCAGCCAGTAGCAATCAGTCTCCAATAATTCTAAGTCTAGTGCCTCCTGCTACCCATTTCTCTCCTCTATGCCCTTGTTTAATTGAATTGGCATGGGTCCTGTGCTCAATGCCACCATTGCCACAAGTTCATGTGTGCAAGCTTCCAGTGGCCTGAAAGCTTCTGCTTCCCTATATTCATGAGCCAGTCCTGACTCCTACAATCTTTCCAACCCCTCTTCTGCAGTGGTCCCTGAGCCGTGGCTGGGTGAAGGTTAATATAGGAGTCCTATCCAGGGACCACACTCTGCAGTCTCTTATCCTTTAAAAGGTGGCCAGTTGTGGCCTGTGTACATTGCATTCTGTTGTGTAAGGAAGTTTTACTGGTGAGAGTTGAGGGATGCATTAGCTTTCTTTCTACCCCTTGTTGCACTGTGTTCCACGAGCCTTAGTTGTAGAGGTTTAACTGTACATGTGCCACCTAGTACTGGACGTCTCTCAGACATATATTCTTTGTGTCTGACCAGATGTGCAGTTCTGCAGTAGCCTCCATCTGTTGCAAAAAGAAGCTTTTTGATGAGTAGTGTGCAGTATGCTTCTCTGTGACTATAAGGATCTATATTTAGCATATAGTAAGAAATTTCATTTGTCTAGAGAAATGAAAGAGATAGGGTTTTCTCCAGGATCTATGTCCTCTCCTGCCATGTGTATTTAGCTGAGTTTACAGTGTCACTCATGAGTTCACTCCCATTAGAGTGCTTTAGGTCCAATTAGATAGCTGTTGATTACCCCTCCAGGTAACAGTGCCACTACTGCACCAACAGAGATAGTTTGCCGTGAGTGTCATTATGGTTATTAAGCTTTAGGGATAGGTTGGAGCATTGATTTTCTCCCTTGACAGTTTGCATATCATCATCAAGCATTATGTTAGCCAAACTTGGGTTAAAAGGCTTCAGTGTCCCTTTGCCTTGCATTAAATTATGAGTAATTGCATATCCTTAGCTTGTAAAATAGCATTTTTCCAAATGAATTCTCAGCCATCCATCGTTCCTGGT